TGGACAAAATAGTTTTATTGATACAAGAATATTGAGCTCTAAGTTCAAGAAATATTTTCTTATGTGCAGAATGTTTTTCTCATTATAAGAACTGTTAGCTAGCTCTTAGCTCAAGAAATGTTTTCTTGTATACAGAATGAGGTTCTTGCTACAAGAATAATTAGCTCTTAGTTCAAGAATTTTTTCTCATGTGCAGAATGGTTTTCTTACTATAAGAACAGCTCTTCAAGAAATGTTTTCTTGTATACAGAATGATTTTCTTGCTACAAGAATAATTGGCTCTTAGTTCAAGAAATCGTTTCTCATGTGCAGAATGGTTTTCTTACTATAAGAACAGTTAGCTCTTAGTTCAAGAAATGTTTTCTTGTATACAGAATGATTTTTTTGCTACAAGAATAATTAGCTGTTTGTTAAAGAAATCTTATATGCAGAATGGTTTTCTTATTATAAGAACAGTTAGCTCTTAGTTCAAGAAATGTTTTCTCGTATACAGAATGATTTTCTTGCTACAAGAATAATTAGCTCTTAGTTCAAGAAATCGTTTCTCATGTGCAGAATGGTTTTCTTACTATAAGAACAGTTAGGTCTTAGTTCAAGAAATGTTTTCTCGTATACAGAATGATTTTCTTGCTACAAGAATAATTTAGCTCTTCGTTCAAGAAATCTTTTCTTATGTGCAGAATGGTTTTCTTATTATAAGAACTGTTAGCTAGGCTCTTAGTTCAAGAAATGTTTTCTTGTATACAGAATGATTTTCTTGCTACAAGAATAATTAGCTCTTAGTTCAAGAAATATTTTCTTGTCTACAGAATGGATTTCTTATTACAAGAGCAGTTAGATCTTAGTTCAAGATATCTTTTCTTATATACAGAATATTTTTCTTATTACAAGAACAGTTAACTCTTAGTTCAAGAAATCTTTTCTTGTCTACAGAATGGTTTTCTTACTACAAGAACAGTTAGCTCTTAGTTCAAGACATCTTTTCTTGTGGGCAGAATGGTTTTCTTGCTATAAGAACAAATAGCTCTTAGATCAAGAAATATTTTCTTGTGTAACAGTTAGCTCTTCGTTCAAGAAATATTTTCCTGCGAACAAGATAGATATTCTTCCTGTAAGAACCCGTAATTCTTATCATGAGAAGAATATTCTTAAGTATGGGTTTATTAGCTTTAAGAAATAAATTCTGAGAATAAGAACAACGTGGCGTGGGTTTCTTGAATTTTCTGGAAACGGGGATTCTTGTTCAAAGAATAAGGTTCTTGCTGACAGTAAAAAGGTCTTTGCACAAGAAAAAAATTATTCTTTTAGTGCAATGCAAGAACATGAATCTTAATCTATTTCTACGTATCACAAGAATTTTGGTCTTGACAGAAGAAATATATTCTGGGTGTGAGATGAAGTAAGAAGCTA